AAGTTCGATTCCTCCGTCCCTCTCGGAGAGCCCGGCAAGCTTCCAGTGGTGTATTCGATATGCCAAAAACAGTAACAAGTCTCATAATGGAGAAGTTACTGGGCCCGCTCAAGCAAATCCATGAACAATGGGAGGACAGTGCTACAGTGCTACAGGTCACTCTGGATTCAGCTCCCATTACACAGACAAGAACGTCACCGTGTACTGCTGAAGAAAATGCCTTTAAGAATCAAGCCTCCACGTGTTTGACAGTTTGCCCTACTTATGACTACTTACCAAAATATTTTTGTTTTGTTTTTTGTTTTTGGGCATACCGGCAGTGCTCAGGGCTTACTCCTGGCTCTGTGCTCAGAGATCAGTCTTGGTGGCTGCCTGGATCCTTGGCACCCCATATGCCCTCCCCACCCCCAGCCCCTACTATCCCTCCAGCCCAACCTACTTACGCCTTTGCTGCTCAGTTTAATCCAGCGTTTCCGAAGTAGGCAATCCTGCTCTCCCCACCCCCAATGCCACCCCTGTCACTGGATCTGCAGGGAGGGCCGATACGGACTCAGGGGCAACTAGAGGTACTTTCTGCTTGCAGCAGAAAGAGGGTGGCGGGTGACGTAAGCTAGGACCTCTGGGTATGGAAAGCCCCTGTCCCACCCGTGAGCCGAGCCACTCCCGTCCTCGGTCCCTAGTTGCAACCAGCAGCTTCATCTCTTTATGCCAGTGTCCTGCCAGCACCGCACACTTAGTGTGCCTCAAGCCAAGCCCCTCTCTTTCTGGCCCCCGCCAAGTTCCCTTCCTCTGGGGGTGGCGCCAGCACACGCCCAGCAAGCCCAGCGTCATCTCGGACCTGAGCTACAACGCGCCCAAACTGGAGCTCCAGCGCTCTTCGAATCGCCCTCGCCCCCGCACTTGGCTCCTCATTCCAGAAGCCAACACTTCCCCACCTCTGCACTCTCTGCAATGCCTCCCACCCCATCCCGTTAAGATGCCATCTGTTTCCTGGAGGCTTCCTGATCCTCTCAGGAATCTCGCACAATTGTTCTGCCACTCAGGATGTTTCTTCCCTTGCTGAGCCGGGAGAGAGTGCAATGCTGGCTTTGGAAAGAACACTCATTTCGAGAGCTTACATATGCAGAGCATTTACTGCCTGTTCGACAGACACGAACTTCTGAGTTTCCAGTTATCTGTTATCTGCGTTGACCCACCGAAGGCCCGCTAGGAAAGTCCTTCAGCTGATTTACAGCCGGGAAAGGATTCTAGGCCGCTGGCTGGCTCCCCCGGCTCACCTCAGCACCCTGAGTGACAGCAAGCCTTCTTGATCCTAACCGGATCTCTGACAAGACTCTTCCCATGACACGTGATTTCTCTCATGAAAGGCACACAATCCACCAGGCACTAGTTACCGATGTACTATTAGTTTGAAACACACGCAAATACTGTTTTTGTAGATTAAAAAATGACCAGACATAAACAGTTTCAAAAGTTCAATCAGGAAAGGATAATGTCCCCTGCTGAAAAACTGTAAAGGAGAGCCAGAGAGCTAGCACGGGGTGGGGACGCTTGCCTGGCATGCAGCTGACCCTGTTTGGTCTCCAGGACCACATATGGTTTCCTGAGCACAGAGCCAGGAGTGATCCCTGAACGCAGAGGCAGGAGTAAGTCCTGGGCACTGCCAGCTGTAGCCTGAAAACAAAGGCAACAACAAAATAAAATGTAAAGAATTAAGATAACCTTGATTTTAGTATATAGTACCAAAGAAATAAAATTAGCAAGGAATCTCCAGGTGACGGTGTTTCTCCAAGACTGAAACGGTGATGGGCTGCAGAGAGACACAGAAGGCTTCCTGGAGGCAGGGGCATGGCAGGTCACCCTTTCTCTCTCTGAACAATTAGACGCAGAATTCGAGCAGCTGCCTCCCACCGCCTTGTCTCTGATGAAGACTAAGGCTCCACTCTGGCGTGGCAGGGAGGCAGCTCAGTGCTACAGCACCTGCCTTCCAGGTGTGAGGCTCTGGTTTTGGTCTCTGGCACCATGAAAGAGAAATAAATATAATAAAGAAGTACACCACACAGAACTGCGTCCTAAAGAACGAGGAAAAACATTCCCGGTATGGGTGGCAGTTATCTGGATTTCTGCTTAGTAATTATTTAAGTTGTACATTTTTACACATTCTCTATGTGTATTTCACAATATAAAGAAAGAATCAGGCCAAGAAGTCAAAATCAGGCCTAGTTTGTAACTTCTTTCCATTGGTGCCAGGGATGGAATCCAGAGCTCCCAAATGCAAAGCCTGCACTCTGAGGCTAAACTAGCCCCCCCGCAAGCCCCACATCACCTTATAATGTCACAAGACACTTCTGTCAAACACCAACTAATTTTTTTTTCCATTTTTGGGTCACACCCGGCAATGCATAGGAGTTACTCCTGGTTCATACACTCAGGAATCACTCCTGGCGGTGCTCGGGGGACCATATGGGATGCTGGGAATCGAACCTGGGTCAGCCGTGTGCAAGACAAATTCCCTACCTGCTGTGCTATTGCTCCAGCCCCAAACATCAACTAATTTTTAAAAGAATAACATTAGTTCACCGTTTCCCCCCAAACACGTCTCCTTTCCTGAAGCATCTCCAGAATCCCCTCACCCTCTACCCTGGGGTCTGGGGAGTCCTGATGTCACAGGTACGAGGAGAATGGAGCCATTTCCCCTCATAGCGTATGCAGAATGTGGCTGGACAAGCCAGTCCTGAATGCCATGGGAATGGGTTTGAGTAACTTGGAGGGTCCCACATCCGGTGAGACAACGTCCTATGTGGAATGTTCCAGGTCACCTCAGATCAACAGATTCAAAAGTCCTACCAGTGGGGTGAGAGCCTTTATTTCATAAGATCCCTGACTTTTTCTTGTGTTTGCTTTTGGGCCATACTGAACGTTACTCTTGGCGGTGCCTGGGAAACCATATGGGGTGCCGGGACTAAACATGGGTCGGCCACATGCAAAGCAAGCTCCATACCTGCTGTGCTGTCATTTTGGCCCGAGACCTCTGACTTTTTTAACAGCACTGGCTTTTTGGCTTTGGGTCATCTCGTGGTGCTTGGTGATCTGGGCTGGCTCCTGGCAGTGCTGGGGATAGGACCTGCGCCCCAACCTGCTTTCCTCAGCGTAGACTATACCCCGCCCTGCAGTTTCAGAGAGCAGACCCTCACCCCCCTTCCTGCCTCATCCACTGCTCTGGGCGGGCACCCCACACCATCTCAGCACCCCGTTCCTCTCTGACCCACTCCCCGCTGTCAGACCTCACTATAGGCAGAAGGGCCCTTATCCATGTCTATAAACGTTCTTAAATATTTTTTTTGAACATCTTATTAACTTTAAAAATGAGCCTCAAAGTGCTTTGGAGACAATAAATGCCGTACAAAGCTAACGTATTAGGATTACAGGGCAGGTGTGTGTGTCGTAAAGTGCAGCAGCAACTCTGATGAAACGCTCACCTCCAGACCTGCTCTCTTCCTTTCTCTAATTACAAGCTCACCCAGAGGCTACAGACGAATTTAAATTTTTGGTTTCAAGTCTCAGTTTTGTTGATCTTAAAGTGTAAATATTAGCTCCCTATTACGAAAACCCCACCAGGAAAGAGAAGGCCCCAGACCCATCACATCAGAACTGGCGTCAAGACGCCTCTGGGCCTCAGGCCCGCGTTCCACACAACAGCTATCTCGCTTGCTGTCTCTGCTTCTTTGCTGACGTGTTCTCTCGTGAACACATTTTCCCTCTTTCTCTCTCACATCTACGTATCTCGCATCTACCTTGCTGCACTTAAAAAACAAACAAACAGGGGCTGGAGAGATAGCACAGCGGGTGGGGAGTTTGCCTTGCATGCAGCCAACCGGCCGACCGGGGTTCGATTCACAGCAACCCATATGGCCCCCTGTGCAGCGTCAGGAGTAACCCCTGTGCATCGCCAGGTGTGACCCAAAAAGCAAAAACAAACAAACAAACAAACAAAAGTCCCCTCTGGGTCCTCCCCTTCCGGTTCCTCCCGCCTCCCCCCGCCCCTCCCCGCAGCTAGAGCAGCTGCTAGGTGCAGATGGAAGGCAGGGCCTCGATCATCTGAGCCACACACACCCCTCCAAGACCCTTTTCTGTTTGGTGTATCTGGCTGTAACAAGCACTGTGTTAAGTAAGTTGTCCAAGGTGACATGTCAACGGAAAAATCAGAAAAAGAAATAAATAACTCTCTCTTCCTTAAAATTATGTGGAAAGGTTACTCTATTAAAATGCCCAGAAAAGATACTTTAACCATCTCTCTCTCCTGCCATTCATTTTTTTTTTTTTTTGGCTTTTTGGGTCACACCCAGTGACGCACAGGGGTTACTCCTGGCTCTGCCATTCACTTCTGCTCATTCCTTTAACAGCACCAACGTTTTCTAGAAAAGAACTCAGAGGAGCTGGGAACACAGCAGACATCAAGCCTAGGACCAGAGAAGGGGGCTACTCTAGTCCCCAGGCAGAAAGGAAGCCACTGCAGGGAAGGCTCACTGTCTTCCCCAGCCTGCCGGGGACCAGGAAGCAGCAAAGAGCAGCCGAGGAGATGCTCTATGTGCTGGCCGAGGCAGGGATCTGTGGCCCCTGGCAGCGGAGATGGCCCAGAGGTTCAGCAATCTCAGCCCGGAGACTGCTGACGTCGGCTTCCTGCGCTGTGCCATCAGCACGCACAGAGAGGCGCCCTCACAGGGACCAAGGCCAGCCTGGCCATGGCCGCAGCGTGGGCTGGGAAAGCCACTCACTCATGGTCTCTTTATAACTGCTAACAAAGATTTGGAAGTTACAACACAAACAGACCATTTCTACCAGAAATTAGTTCTTTAAAGAGAAACTGTAACCCAAACTCACTGGTACCAGGCTGAACCCAGTTCCTGGCACCCCTCAACACTGTGGCCACAGGGGCCTCGCCACCAAGAGGACCAGCCTTGATAATCAGAAGGAATTCAATTCAATTCACTATGACTTACCCCATTTTCAGTGCGTTTTTCTCCAGGTGCATTTATTACATTTCTCTGAGTTCTCTGCTCTTGAGTTTGACGACCTCCTAGAGAAAGAGGACCAAATTTACAGAAAGATACTAGAAGCAATACATTCTGATTTTTCACTTTAAGTATGTATTGAACATTACAAAATACTAGAATGAAAAACTCAGGACATAGTATAGGAGAAAAATATTTTACAATTAATTTTTTTATATAAAGTTGCTTAAATTGTTTTTGGGGGCCACGCCCAGCAATGCTCGGGGTAACTTCTGGCTCTGCACTCAGTCACTGCTGGCGCTGCTCAGGGGACCATCCGGGATCCTGGGGATTGAACCCAGGCTGGCTAACCGTACCCACTGTACTATCACTCCAGCCTCGTAAAGGAAGTATTTTCTCCTAGCTTTCTCATTTCAGAATTCTGAAGCTGACTTTTATAAAAAGTTTCCAATGGCTCCAGCATCACAGCACATGCCCCTACCCACGAGTTCTCTCTTCTGCCCAGGCCGCTTCTCCAGTGGGCCCCAGTGAGAGCAAGTGGGGAAGGCGTTTGCACTGCATGTCTCTGACCCAGGTGATGCCCAGTACATGTGACCCCCCCTGAGCCCTGCCAGGAGTGAACCCTGAGCACAGATCCAGGAGTAAGCCCTGACCACCAAGGGTGTGTCCTCCTCAAAATTACAAAGAGGAGAGTTAAATAGGGCCTACTACCTAGTCATCTGACAAAATCCTGACGCACACGACAGGGTTAAGAACCCGAGTGAACACCATCGACACTGAGCCATCTCAGGAATTCACTGTTTGTTACATGTCTCAGCGTATGCGTGTGTGCGTGTGGGTTTTGTCACAGAGAGACCCAGGGCCTCACAGGCAAGGCAAGTGCTCTAACACTGATACAGTCATAGGCCCTGCCTGAGGGTACTGTTTTCAAAGGGTTAAAATTTAACCCAAGGGGCTGGAGCAATAGCACAGCGGGTAGGGTGTTTGCCTTACACGCAGCCAACATGGCCAACCCAGGTTCGATTCCCAGCATCCCATATGGTCCCCCAAGCACCGCCAGGAGTAATTCCTGAGTGCATGAGCCAGGATTAACCCTGAGCATCGCTGGGTGTGACCCAAAAAGCAAAAAAGAAAAAAAAAAATTAACCCAAAAATATTTTCCACCTGTCATGTTTCCTAACAAAGAAAGTGTGATGCACACATCTGGAGCAGATGAGGTCAAGTGTCAGGAATGAGTTTTCTGCTGGCCAAATGCTGTTCCCTTGCGCATGTCTCCAGAACCGGATGCTGATCTGAGAATTCTCATGGCCACGGTGTTCACTTTGTTACCAGGAATGCAGAACTTTAAACAGTTTCTTGTGACTAGGTCTCCTAACCAGGCCATGAGCCTAATATTTAAAAAAGGGAAAAAAGCATTTTTCCCATTTACTTCTTTTATATCACTTTGAAATTTTACAAGAAAAATTCTACCATTAAAGTAGTGCTTAACGTTAAACTACATTCTCAAAGAGTGGAAATAAAATATTTTACTCCTTATATGTATAGTCAAGATATATAGTAATAAAGATCGATCAAAGATCTAAAAAAGATCTGATGGGAGGCAGAGGGGGACAAGTAGTGACAGCGTCCAGGGGCCTGAGAAGAGTGACCACCATCAACCAGGGGGGCGGCACATGGCCAATAAGCACAGGGCCCCGGGTTCAGCCCCCAGCACTGCGCACCCTTCACCAGCACCTCTCGATGCGCCCTGCTGGGCTGGAGCAGCACTACACCAACGGGCCCAAGCACTGGATCATGAGGCCTGGCTGGACAAGACTGCTGAGAACGCCCAGCGTCTCGGGCACTGCTTCGAAGCCCCCAACCCCCACCGCCAAAAAGGGAGAAAAAAGAGAATAGAATATCCATAAAAAGCTCCTCAGGGTGGGGTGAGAATTCAGCAGGGAAGGTTCGATCCCCAGCACCCCGTATGGTTCCCTGAGCACCCCCAGGAGTGACCCCTGAGTGCAGAGCCAGGAGTCAGCCCTGAGCACCACCAGGCGGAGTCAAAATAAACCAAGACAAAAAGCCCCAAAGCTCTTTAGGGGCGTCAGGGGAGTAATGACAACAAAAGCAGCAGTGGGTACCCCAAAACACGTACTCCTGTCAACTTGCCAGTGAAAAATGAAAGAGGCTCTGAAGCACTACCGAGGTGTCAGCGAGGCCCGCCCAGGCAAAGGTCTTGCTTTCCTGTTTCCTTTGAGGCAGAAGGGGCCACGCCTGGCTCTGTGCCCAGGCAACCGTGTATGGTGCCAGGGATCAGCCAGGGTTGGCCACAGGGGAGGCAAGTGCCTGAGCTCCTGCCCGGCCTCTCGGTCTACTTCTTACTGACGTGGGGGTACTTGGTATATGTAAAGGAAATCAGTCCTTTGCCAAAGAAGTCATCAGTGCTGTTTCCCAGATGATGGTTTTTCCTCTTTGTACCCCAAGCGGTGAGCAAGAGGCTGGGACTCGGGGTCCCCTACTGGCGATTCTTGGCCTGGTAGTTCACCGGAGGCCTGAGGGTTATCCAGCTAGTGCTCGGGCTTCACCCAGTGATAGTAGGGGTGGAACCAGGATCGGCCGCATGCAAGGCAGGTGCCCAAACACTGATGGATCCCCCCTGGCCCCTCCCAGCTGATAATTTATCTTGCAGCTTTCCTCGGCGTGACTGCTGCCATGTCAACAGGATTTTCTCCCTCTTTGATTTTACTGTTCTTGGGTCATACCCAGTGATGCTCAGCTCACTCCCGGCTCTGCCCTCAGGAATTACTCCTGGCGGTGCTCAGGGGACTGTATGGGATGCCAGGGATCAAACTCCAGTTGGCCACCTGCTGTCCTATAAGCTCCAGCTCCTTCCTCTTTTATTTTTATGTTCTTTCTGGTTTGTTGCTCTATCCAGCAGTGCTCGGGGTTTAATCCTGAACCCAGGTTAGCCTTGTTCAAGGCAAGTACTCTCCCCACTGTACTATCACTCCTGTCCCCTTCTCCTCTTAAATAATTCACTGATTGTTTTCTTTTCCTTTACGACAGTGTTATATTTAGAAATATCTTATTCAGCCCAATTTCTTTTTCTTATTGTTCTGAATTTTTCTTTTTCTTTTTTGGCCAAATCTGCCTGTGCTTAGGACTTCCTCCTGACTGTGCTCACTTCTGGCGGTGCTCAGGGGGTCGTATGGGGTGCTGGTGATGAAATCTAGGTTGGCTGCATGCAAGGCAAGCACGTGACCTGCTATACCTCTGGCCCCCACCCTAAAATTTTTTAATATCCCAGAGTATTTCTATTTATTCTTTTCACAGTTCTATTTAGCCTTAAAATCTAGATAGCTGACTCATCTAGTCTTCATTAAAAGTTACTTTAAATAGAACGTTCTCTCACGTGTCTAAGCACATTATTCGATTTAATGTACTGAGAAGATAATAAGTGCCAAGTGCCTAAAAATATTAAATGATCATGAAATACTTACAATGACTGAGGTACAAACTTATAATGAGTGAGGTACAAACTCTTCCTCTCACAATCATCACCACTAGCGTAGTGTTCCTATTTTTCTCTTCAGACAATGTGATTTTTCCTACTTTTCTTAGATGAACTTTTATGGCAAAAACTACCAAATGAGAGAAAAGTACTTATGTACCTTGCTCACTGCTCTCGGTTGGGGAATCTTCATGTCGAAGAAAAAATTTCACTTCTTCTCTTCGTGGCCCCCATTTCTGAAGATGCTCATACATCATATAGTCAAAGGGTATAGGACGCTCTGGAAAAAATACACAACTATTTCAGAAACAAATAAAATGACACCAAACAAATGAAAACTTGATGGGAGTGTGTACGACATAATCAAAGCTATTACAAGCAACACATTTTAACTTTGATGAAAAACAAGAGTATGAATGGAAAACAATTTAGTGAATATGTAAATACACGGGAGCTGGAGCGATAGCATAGCAGGTAGGGCGTTTATCTTGCACACTCCGCTGACCTGGGATTCCTCTGCCCCTGAGAGTACCTCGCCCGCACTGCAAAGCCTAGCAAGCTACCCATGACGTATTTGATATGCCCCCAAAAAACAGTAAAGACAAGTCTCACAATTGTTGTAAGACGTTACTGGTGCCCGCTCGAGCAAACTGATGAACAACGGGAAGACAGTGCTACAGTGCAGTGAACACATGAAGCACACACAGAAGCAATTTTGCAATATTAAACCAAGAAGCTGAAAGAGAGGTTGCAGCAACAGGACAACAGAGAGGGGTTTGCCTTGCATGCAGCAGACCCGGGTTTGATCCCCAGCACCCCAGATGGTACCCCAAGCACCGCCAGGATTAAGTCCTAAGTGCAGAGCTGGGGGTAGGTGTGTCCCAAGGTCCTTTCCAGTTATTTCTGGAAACAGAATGTCACTCACCCTTAAAAGAAAAATACTGGAGATGCTGTTCCTCGACAGAGCATTTGCCCTGCACGCGTGACCAATTATCCCTGGGATCTTAGTAAATAAGAGCATCACCAACTGTAGCTGTGAGGTGCCATGGCGGCCCAGGTAATCCCAAGCACTTCAGTTAGGGTCGGAGCAGTAAGCTACCACCTTGGTTTGCCAAATATTGCCAGAAGTGTACCCCAGGCTTCTGACACTGCTTGGGAGACCCTCCAAACAAACAAAAAACATTAACTGCTGAGCCCTATTATTTATTTATTTATTTTTGCTTTTAGGATCACACATAGCGATGCACAGGTGTTACTCTTGGCTTTGCACTCAGGAATTACTCCTGGGGTGCTCAGGGGACCATATGGGATGCTGGGAATTGAATCCAGGTTGGCTGTGTGCAAGGCAAATGCCTTACCTGCTGTGCTATCCAGCCCCTATTAGAATATTATACATGGCAATCAGGTAGATAAAAACTGGACATGGCTCTACCTAGCATCTCAGATCACATTACTGGGAATGTTCATGAGCATCTGTAATGACCAAAAAGACGAAAATAATACTAAAAACTAAAGTTCAGGCTGGGGCACTAACTCAAACGGGCAGAGCCATGCTCTGTATGATGGAGTTCCAGACTCAAGGCTGGACACCTGAGCGCCAGGAGCAGAGTCAGGAGTCAGCCCTGGGCACTTCCAGGTGTGGTCCCCAAACCAAACCAAATCAAAAGCTAGACCAATCAACACTCCCACCCCCCATCCACGCCAACACGGGCTGTTTTGTTCTTTTCGATGCGTGCGATTCTCCTTGGTGTGAGGCGATGACTTGTGGTTTGTGGTGTTTTTTTTTTTAATTTTATTAAATCACTGTGAGATAGTTACAAGCTTTCATGTTTGGGTTACAATCACACAATGATCAAACACCCATCCCTCCACAGTGCACATTCCCCACCATCAATATCCCCAGCATAGCCCGCATTTCCCACCTGCCCCCTGCCTCCATGGCAGACAATATTCCCCATACACTCCTTCTACTTTTGGGATTCATGATTTTGATTTCCATTTCCCTGATGAGAAATTCTTTCACATGCCTCTGGTCCTCTGTATGTGTTTTCTGAGTAAGCTTCATTTCTTCTCCTCAGTTTTTGGGTTGGATTTTCTTCACTGTAAGATTCTCCCAGTGCTTTACTATCTTGGCTCCTGAGCTATATCAGATGAGTGGTGGGAAAGTATTTCCTCCTAGTCTGCACACAGGACTGCTCCAAGCCATCTCCCAGTCGGTGTCGATCACTCCAGTTCCCAGGAAGCGCCGGGTCAAGTCCCCTTTACACACTATCTTCAAGCTGACATGGCAATTTTCAGTTCTTTCTTCGCATATGTTTTGGAGCAGCTTGGCATTTTCTCCTTCTCCTCCGTGTCTCTTACCTATTTGCTGGCCGGCTGGCAGTGCTCACTGGGGTGGGTGGCGCATACTCGGCTGTGCTCGTACAGCCCAGTCATGTGCGCTTCGATCAGCGCGCTTTTTTGTCACAGCGCCAGAGATCACTCAGGATGTGGGATGATGCCACGGATGGAAGCAGCAGACCACCCTGCAAAGCATGGGGCCAGAACCCCAGGACCCTCAAGCAGTTCTCCTAAAGGTGGGCTTTTAACTGGGTAATATCAGCTTACACACAAACCTGGGGAAAAGAGACATCTTCATGAGCTGAATCTTGCAGGCCCGAGCATGGTTATTTCCTGCCTTTCCATTTCCCCTCCAAGTACTTGGTGTTCTTTAGTAATGTGTAACTGTAGGAGTGCGTGGAATCCGGGACACTGGCCTGGAATGCTGGGTCTGACAGGCACTCAGGCCAGGGCTGTGGTGCCGGGGGCCATCGGGGTCACCGGGCTGTATCAGCAGTGCTCAGGCTGAGGGCCAGTGTGCGGTCAGGCACCGAACTCGGCCCGGCAGACACTCTACGCTCTACCACTGGAATCACAATCCCAGTAAAGTTACTGTTCATCTGACTGTCAATTTCTGGAAGGCCCCAAACATGAACCACCTCAATGCTTCTACACAATTTCACATTATGACACCAAAAACTCCAGACATGATTTGATTTTTTTTTTCCTTTTTAGAAAAAATCTTAATACAGCGCAACAGAAAGGGAGAATATGGTTAGGGAAGCTCCCAGATTATGGGAAGGGTCTTCCAAAGCAGGATTCCCAGTTTATTCTGTGTCTTTTTCTCTGATTTTAAAGAGGATAAGTTTGGGATGGAGACAGCACAGGGGTTAGGGCAATGGCCTGGCACATGGCTGACGCCTGCTCTGTCCCTTGGACCAGACGTTCCTTAAGCACCACCAGGGCACTCCTGAGCACAGAGCCAGGAAAAGCCCTTGAGCACAGCCAGGTGTTGTGTGTGTGTGTGTGTGTGTGTGTGTGTGTGTGTGTGTGTGCACACACAGCAGATACTCCTGGGTTGATACTCATTTACTTACTGCTAGCATAAGCCAACCTGGGAACATTCCCAAACTCCTGCCAAACACACAGAGTTATGCTGGCAAACTACTGAATCTGGTTGCAGTTCACTTGAAAGTTAATTTTAATGTATTACTTGTTTTGTTTTGGGACCAAGGTCAAGGCTTTTACTCTTGGCCCCACACTCAAGGATCACTCCTGCCGTTCCAGGAGGACAGTATGTCAGGGATTAAACTGAGTCAGTCACATGCAAGGTGAGTCCCTAACCCACTGTACATTCGCTCTGGCCCACAAGTTAAGGTTTTTATGTCAGAAAAAAATAGTACCGATGAATATGGATAGTTTTAATTCAGGCTTCCAATTCTTCTCAAATTTCCTCCTCCCGTGCAGCTTCGGCTAGACCCTTCAAGCAGAAATGCTGAGCTGAAATGGAAGGTGTTGCTTCTTTTACTGCTCTGAGGGAAATGTCTACACAGTTTCAAAACCAAGTGAGTTTTAAAGGTTTTGTCAGGTCAAATATTTCTTCTATTCTAGTTTACGAATTATCATCATGAAAGGGCATTCCGTTTTACTCCACTGAAATGATACTGCTGCTCTTCTTTTTGACAATGCTGCCTATTAATAGATTTGACCTGGAATCTTTAGCATTCTTTTCTAGGAATCAACTTTACTTGGTCATGATTTTTTAATATGCTACTGAAATGGATACACTGACATTTTATTTAGAATTTCTGCACCCACGTTCAAAGTGAGATTGGCTCTCCTCTTTTCTTCTTCCTCATTGGGCCACACAGAGCAACTCTCAGGGCTATTCCTGGCTCTGTTCTCAGGACCACATGCAGTGCCAGGATTCAAACCAGGGCCACAGGCACTGCAGCCACATGCAAAGTAAGTGCCATGTTTCTGGTCCCTCATTTTTCCTTTCCTTTTTTTTTTGTTTTGAGCCATAACTGGCTGTACTCAGGACTTACTCCTGGCTTTGCACTCAAGGATCACTCCTGGTGGGCTTGAAGGATCATATGTGGTGCTGGGATTGAGCAGGGGTCAGCCACATGCAAGGCAAGTACCTGACATACTAAACTCTCTCTCTGGTCCACCTCACTTTTCTTACAGCCTTGTTCAATCAGAGAATGAAAGTTCTACTAGCCTCATCAAATAAACTATTATCTAAAAAATGTTATATAAACTGTTATTTGAAAGTCTGTAAACTTCCAATGTGGCTGTAAACCCTCTGGGTCTGGAGTCTTTGGGACTAGACAAATTAAAGATTCCATTAAAAAATACATATTCATTTATGGAACTTCCTCTTTAGTCATTCTTGAGAAAAAAGTGACACCCATCATCTGTTATATCCTTTTAGAGCATTTTATCAGGTTCGACCCTGTGAGAACACGAGTCCCATGGGAGTGGAACCTTGCTCCTCCTCTGCTATGTTCCCCAACGCCAGTGCTAATACCGAACGGGTCTAACATATATTTGTTGACTGAGTGTTATTGAGGGAATAAATCCTACTCAGACTTCATCTAGATACTGAAAATCCACTAATCTATGGCACATAATTAAATAACTATTTATAGTTGCAGCATACAATTTATTTTTTTATTTTTGCTTTTTGGGTCACACCTGCCATGCACAGGGGTTATTCCTGGCTCGATACTTCAGTCACTTTCAACCTAGGTCCCCAGCCTTCCTCTACCCTTCACAGCCGGCATTTTCAACCAACACCAGCTGGAGTGTGGACTCCCACAATTCGACTCACATCACCGCCCCCAGTGGGAGGACTGCACAAGGAGCCTGCCTTTCTAAAACACCACATCCCAGAGCACAGATGCCTATAAACCCGATACACTTCAGTACCTTTGTTGTAATTTATGTCCTAGATAT